GCCGCTCAAGCTTGCCTGTGGAGGGAGGTGGCGAGTGGCGGCTGTCCCCAAGCGATTTTTCGTCTCCCAATCTCAGTTGTCCAAAGCGAATCGGCCTGGCTCTGGGTCAAAACCACTGGGATCCCATTTTGGGCTAGGTGCACCACCCATTTTGGTCTATTTTAGTGGGGATTGGGATGTTCACTGGCGGTATGGGCTTTTGTCCCATGGCCAAATGACCTTTTGGTTTCCCAATTTGGGGTTCTCATTTTTAGTAGTCACGGCCCCAAAAAGTTGACCTTTTACTTCTGGGTTCTTTGGGCAACTGAGCAATTGGTGGTTAAGGGAAGCTCTTAGACCAAATTGCCTCATGGGAGGACCATGCGTGCAGTGATTTAGCCCAATATTCCTCGCGGACTAATATTAATCTTCCCTTCAATTGGTGGTTGGAGCCCCTGCTCCCGACTTAGCGTTTTGTTGTTGAAAAGGGGGTCCCCACAAAGCTCGAACTTGGATTTTCCATGCATTTGGCACAAGCTGGCCGGATTGCTTAGTGCGGCTTAGTGTCCAAATATGGAACCTGAACGTTTGAAATCCGGAGGTATGAGACATCAAAAGATCGATATATTTTCCTGGGAACTTGACATGTGCATATAATGTTGACCCCGGATGAATCGAGCCGTCCTATAAATATGGGGGGGTGTTCCCCTCGGAATAGTTAGCCCACTTAACTCGGGTTGTTATCATTGCATTGCACATGGGACCTTTCTTGGGTGCAGATCCAATGTTGAAAAGCCATGTTGGTCCATTGTTTATCTTTGGTTTTGGCAGAGGTTAACATTATGCACTTACGTGGGTATTTGGAGTGGCACATGTTGCAGATCGGAATGGTTGATCCAAGTTGGGCGGCGCTGAAGAAAGCTCGTTTTGCATTTATACCTCATCATTTTATCATGTACTGCAAAGGGCCTAGATCGTTGTAATGGGGTTGTGGGGCGACTATTACACCAATTTATGGCCATACTCGTGAAGGGACAAAACTCTGCTTAGCCCCTTATACTAGGTTTTTGAGGTCATGTTGGTTATGAGTTCGCTGTAAACCACGCGAAAACTGTTGCTGTCTCAACTCAGGTCAGCTGTTGGGTTAGGATCAACCATGAAATGGGGTTCTTAGATTGTGCGAGACTCCAGTGATTAGTACCATACCTAAACCCACAGACAACCCCTCCCTCCTTAAACATCTCGCTTCTTCAGCCGATCGGCCCGTCGCGGTACCCCGCGACGTACCGAATCTTTTGCCAAGCGAAGTGCTCCAGGTACCTTTGCCAGTGTTGTAGAAGAAACCTCCGCTTCCGTTGGAACAACGTGATTTCACGAGCTCGCCGGTAGTCTTGGGGATGAAGTTATGATGGACGAACTCCTGCACCGGCTGGTGTAGGTGTTAGGAATCCATCCCTGCAGGATTTTGTCCAGTATGCGCAGATCGTCAGAGACAGAGAGAGAGATGTCAAATATCATGTTGCACTACTTGTCACTTGTGCATGCATGATGTACACTACCCGACAGCAGGCCTTGAGTCTACCAGGAAAAGAGTGCATGCTGGCTGACTACATTTGTGTTTGTGATAACTGAACAACACTTGCACTAGAAGTAAAGTATCAACGTATTTTAACGTGGTAGCGGAGCTGAGATCCTAAACATAGGGGAGCTCCAGTGCACAGACAACCAACATGCCCAACTACTACGACATGTCAGGAGAACCAGCAGCAGCATCAGCACAACCAACTGCAGGAGCAGACAACGGGCCCACAGCAGAAGAGACAATAGGAGCCACAACTACGGGAACAACACAGGAGCAGGAAGACGTCCAAAGGCTACACAAATACAAACTGCCACCACCATTCTTCACTGGTGACTACTCACAGTATGAAGAGTGGCTGTTCAAGCTACAAGCATATCTCGGACTTATCGACCGAGACTTCGACATGGTGCTACAACTAGCACAAGCAGCTACAAGACAAATTGAAGATGCAGACATCAGAGCACACATACGCGACCCTACACAGGCAGCAAAAGCAGTAGACCTCTCACGAGATCTACACTACATCCTCATCAACATCTGCCAAGGAGCAGCAGCTACAGTGGTTAGACAAAACCTCTACAATGCCAATGGATGTGAAACACTACGGCTTTTGCACAACAGGTTCAGCCTACCAGTAGGAACACGCAGTGTTGGCTACCTCACCAAACTACTGGAACCAACATTCAATGAAGCACAATTTGAAGAACAATTCCTACAGTGGGAATACGACATCAACCGCTACGAGAAAGACAACGGCACAGCACTACCAGATGGAGTAAAGATTGCAATACTACTCAACAAGACCAAAGGAGCACTCCAACAGCATCTCCAACTACGTGCTGGACAGATCACGAACTACAACGAGATCAGAGTTGTCATCCTGGACTACTACAAAACCATCTCTGCATTCTCAAGAGCGAGCTCAGCAGTTGGCACAAACTACAATGGTGGGACAGCACCGATGGACGTGGACAACATTTGGAGAAAAGGAAGAAACTACAAAGGCAAAGGCAAATATGGAGGCAAAGGACACTACAAAGGAAACAAAGGAAAAGGTAAGTACAGAAGCAAAGGCCACTACAAAGGATTCGACAAAGGCAGCAAAGGAAACTACAACAAAGGAGGATACAACAAGAACAAAGGAAAAGGCTACTCAGGATCCAAAGGACATGGATCAAGCAAAGGCTACAAAGGCCAAGGAAACTACAGCAAATCAAAAGGAAAAGGAAACAACAATTACACAACATGCCATCGATGTGGCAAACCAGGCCACTGGGCACAAGACTGCAGAGTGCCAGTATGGCACATAGGAGAAGGAGAAGAACTACATCCACTAGAACAAGAACAAGCAGATCACGACAACAATGAAGAACTACCTCAGGATGTGAACGACACTTGGGACTGGTACTACGAAGGAGAAGAGGGACAACACGAGGTGAACTACATGGAGGAGAACTGGAACGACTACGACTATGACAACAGCTGGGATTGGAATGACGACAGCTATGAGGACACTGCAAACTACATTGGAGGCATCAACGAGTCACACCTCACAATTGACTACTACAAGCAACAGCATCTAAAGTCGGCTCAATGACTGTACGACATTCACCATCCTACAGCAGCAACAGTCAAGGAAGCGTTGAGCGACTACATAGAACACTTCTCGGACAAATCCGCGTCGTCAAAGCTCAGGTTGAAAGCAACTACAGCATGACGATGTCCACAAAGCACTGTCTACTACCTTGGATAGTACGACACGCAGCATGGACGGTAAATCGCTACGTCATTCACTCAGACGGCTACACAAGCTTCGAACGCCGCTGGGGAAGAAACTACGAGCGAGCAATCTGCGAATTTGGCGAGACACTACTCTACCTTCCACCACAACACAAGAAACTCCCAAAAGCAGACCTACGGATGCAGAAATGCATCTGGCTCGGAAAAGTTTCCGAAACCGGAGAAAACTACGTCGCAACGGAGTCAGGCGTACAAAAGGTACGAACAGTGCGGAGACTACAACCAGACTTCAAATACGACCTCGCACTATTGAACAAAGTTTCCGGCACACCGTGGGCACCACGACGGAATACCTACAACCCATCGTTCGCAACACTGTTGGATGCGCAACTACCACCGTCAGAGAGAAGGTCCACGCAAGATTTCGGACAACAAACGAACACTACGGACGACATCGTTGCGGAACCCGCAACAAAACAACAACGCACCACACCACCTCCACGACTTCCGTCAACATCGACGTCAAGTTCACGACCACTACCGGATAGTCCGATGGCTACTTCACCAACCGGACGACAACATCCACCACTACCAGCACCACCTCGACAAACACTACGACGTTTAACTCCGGAAGAAGTAATGCAACCCACTAAAGCACAGAAGACCTCAAAGGACACTACAATCAGATCAACGGAGCAAGCAACCAAAGAACCACCACCACTACGACAGAAAATTAACGCAGTGACACTTCCCAACGGCAAATTCATCACACCCTACACAAACGACGACACCTCAGAAGACCAACCCATAATCTTCGACAACGAAGGTTACGACGAAACACAACTACTGGAAGGAATGAAACACGAGTCAAATCAAATGAAGCTACATGACGTCTACGACGAAGTAGATGCGTCTACCGTCGACGACAACGTCATAAGAGAAGCGATACCTACTAGATGGGTACACAGGAAGAAAGGACCAGGAGTGCGAAGTCGAATCGTCGCAAAAGGCTACACAGAGAAGATCGAGGACGAAGACTCCGTCTACGCCTCTACACCAATGTTCACGACACTCCGGACACTTCTCGCACTACAAATGTCACGACCAAACTGGATAGCGCGACTAGGCGACGTCTCTACAGCATTTCTACACGCACCCATCGCAAAAGACCACGACGGTAAACAACGTGACGTCTACCTTTGGCCACCTAAAGAACTTTGTCCACAACAGGACAAAATCTGGCGACTAAAGAAAGCCATGTATGGACTACGCAGTTCACCAAAAGCATGGCAGGACTACCTGGCTGAAGTGTTACAAAAGCTCAGCTTTGTAAGACTAAAGTCAGAACCTAACGTCTACACCAATGCAACTCGCGACTGCTACATCATGGTCTACGTGGATGATCTCTTGGTACTTGGTGACGAGACTACTGTCGACTCCACCTTCGAGGCCATCCAGAAGCAGGTCCTACTCAAGCACATCGGCTACCTCGAACCTGGCAAACCACAACAATTTCTTGGAAGAAACATCGACCACTTTGGCAACTACTGCAACCTGGGACTACCCAGTCCTTCCGGCGAGGATTCGATGGCGAGGATTCGTTTTTTTCAGCGCTGATTCGAGTTGACGAGGATTCGTGTAAAAAACACTTGACGAGGATTCGGGTTGACGTGGATCCGTGTCAACCGACGTGGGTCAG